GCAAGAGCGGCCGTGAGGCCCGGCTGGCTGCAAGCCACTGGCTCTCACTTGGGGGGAGGCAGCCGGCCTCACCGCCGCCGCCGCCTCCACCGCGGACCCAGCCGGCCGGGCACAAGAGTGGCCGCGAGGCCCAGCCGACTGCAAGCCAGTGGCCCTCGCTTGGGGAGGGGGAAGCAGCGAGGCCCGGTGGCTACAAGCCGGCCGGGGCTCGCTTTGGAGCTGGGGGGGATGGAACCGACGAGACTGCCGGGCTCGCAACGGAGAGGGGGGAGGGGGAAGAGACGAGCAACATTTTGTTGCGGGTCCACTCTTGTAATCTTATAAACCTCAATCATGTCACCCCTCAGTCATCATTTCTTCAAGCTAAAGAGCCCCAAGCGCTTTAACCTTTCCTCATAGGGAAAGTGTTCCAACCCTTTTATCATTCGAGTTGCCCTTTTCTGCACTTTTTCCAAAGCTATAATATCCTTTTTAAGGTGTGGTGACCAGAACTGCACACAGTATTCCAAATGAGGTCTCACCATTGATTTATATAGGGGCATTATGATATCGGCTGATCTGTTTTCAATACCCTTCCTAATAATCCCCAGCATAGCACTGGCCTTCTTTATTGCAGTCTTCTTCATCTTCTTCCTTCCGGGCCAAAGGACAGACATGTGACCCAGTGGCTCTTCCTCCTCCTGCCCCTGCCCCTCCTCCTTTCATGGGCTTTGGGCTGAGCATTGGCGACTTCCACTCTTGAGCCAGTTTGGTGTAGTGGTTAAGTGTGCGGACTCCAGTCTGGGAGAACTGGGTTTGATTCCCCCACTCCTCCACTTGCACCTGGCTGGATGACCTTGGGCAAGTCGTAGTTCTGATAAGAGCTGTTCTTGAAAAAGAGCAGTTTCTGTCAAGAGCTCTCTCAGCCTCACCCACCTCACAAGGTGTCTGTTGTGGGGAGGGGAAGGAGTTTGTAAGCCGCTCTGAGACTCCTTTGGGTAGTGAAGGGCAGGGGGTAAATCCAATCTCTTCTCCTCTTCTCTTCTTCTTCTTGACACCAGCCACTCACACCCTTTTCCAGCTCCTCCCTGTCTGCAGCCAGGGCAGCTGGCTGTGCCACAGTGCTGCGGGAGGCCTGGACACCCCAGCGGACCTCAACAACTGAATTTCCCACCCCCACCCCAAATTTAATCAAAGTCCCTCCACAATACCATCAAATCCGGGGAAAGAAGCATAATTATCTGGAACCATGAGAACACACGGAGCAGTCAAATGTGTACTGCAGCACAGAGCCCCCTCGCAAGGATACAAAAGCATAAACAACACAAACTGTCCGCACTAGTTGAAACTGCCTTCCGTCAAAGAGCAAGTACGCACGTGGACGAAGGCGCTGAACAAGAGCCTGGGAACGTCACAAGAGAATGGCCCGAGAGCAGAACGGTAAGAAGACTGGCACCGGGGGGGGGGGGACAGGAAAGGCATTCCGTAGATGAGGGGTCACAACAGAAAAGGCCTTGCCCTCTGTGGCAGCCCAGCCCACTCCAGAGGGTATGTGCATCACGGTGCAACCTTTCACCCAAAGGTACCACGGCAGCAGTGGTGATGAGTGAGCCTACACACCCAGGGCCCCGAGTCCAAGCCAAGGAGACCCTGAGGTGTGGCCAGACCTGATAAGAGCCACTGGGCACCATTTGGGCTGGGGCTGTTCTAATATCCTGATCCTCCCCTGCTTCAGGAGGAGTGGCACACCACACAGA